TTCGTGACTTAGGAGTCCTCTTCACTACTCCTAACGTTTCACAGATTTAGGAGCTAGTTTTAGAGCTAAAACGCTTTGTGAAATACTCAGAACAAAAATTTAGGAGTCCTAAATTTAGGACTGACACGCCTATTATTTTTAAGATTTTCTCCTAAATCGGCGAGTTATGAGCTATACGTTTAGCCTTATGTGTATTAAACATGATATTCAAAAAACACATATGCACTTTTTTTTTTTAAATAGATTTTTATGACTTATTTCATATGTTAAGATTTACAGGGTTAACAAATTTACAGCATAAATGTCTGGGGGGCCATAAAAAAGGTGCTAGACGAGCTGCATAAAATTTAGAAGAGAAAATAGTAGGCTATAAAAATGTAAAAGCAAAAAATAAAGTTTAAATTGACAGAATTTGACATTATGATTTCACTCTGCCTTCTAAACAGTGGTCACAAATGTGATTAATCAAAAATATTTTAGTGATAATTTTAAATAACTGACAGTTTTATGATTTTCTGTGTGTTTATTCTAATGGTGGGTTAAAAAAAGTTAGTCTCAACTAAATAGAGGATTTTGCACAAATGTATGTTTTTTTTTTGCAGTATAAATGGGGGTTTATATTACAATGTATATTTTATAAATCGATAACATGCACATTCAATATTGATCTTATCTTATTTTTATTTATGCACATTCAAGATCTAAGGGTTTATCTTACATACTCACCGTTAAAGCGCTATCGCAGTCATTGAGGTCGTAATGAAAATACATGAAGTTCTCGTCTGAGCGAGAGACAGGACATGTTCCCAGGTGAAATGAAGACGGTGAACTTCTGAAGCCCATCAGGTTCTTATTTATGCGTACTGAGATCTTACTGTAACCACACCACACCTCCACACCATGACCATTATCCACTGGAGACACTTGGATCTGCTGAGGGTTAATTTGAGGAATTAGAAGATTAGTCAAACGATTTGGTAAGTGTCTTCTCCCGGAGACAGGTCTGAACAGCTCCATGTCAACGAGGGGAACTGGAACATGTTGGAACATTGGGAAAACGCGATATGGTCGCATAACCGGAGGGTTTTTCATAAACTCACTGTCTCTTGTAGCCCTACACGGCCTGACCGCGCCTGGCATGGGCTGCATGTCATGGACGACACTGCTATATTCTAGATGACCCACGGTCCCGCAAGTGTAAACTTTGGCAATGTGCAATATGCCAAGAAAGTACAAAGAACAACAAAAATACAAACGTATGCGCTCCATGATCAGTATTAAGTCGTAAATGTGACACAGGGGAATTAAATAAGAACGCGAGACGCGCCCTGCAGCCACCTGCTGATTGATGACGTGACGACCACTAATTAGCTTACTACTCGTTTACGTGATGACAACCAGTTCTTTCGATTGGTTTATTGCAATGAACCGGTTAAACTAAAAAATAAAATAAAATACGTCATCACGTAATTCCGCCTCGTCCTTCTCAAAACAAAATGTCCAAAAAGTGTTTTTGAAAAATGTTTATTATAATTAAATATAATAATATGAAATGTAAGACTTATGTTGTTTTATCGAAAAATGTTTATTTACACATGATTAAAATAATAATACAAATAAAAATTACATGCACTTGCTATGATTTAGCTCATAAATAGCCTATAGCCTAAATATAATTTGGATTTTCATTAGCCTAAACAATACTGAAATTCATTTACATATTTTGGCTGATGTATGGGCCTCTTTTCTATTCTAGCTTATTTAAAACGAGTTTAGTTCTTACACGGGTTGATAAAACTCTATTTTTATTTGTTACAATTTTTGCCATTTGATTATTAAATGAACTTACTTTTCACCTGGTCCTCGGTACGCTCCTAAAAACGCACACATCAGTTTTTGCTCATTACGAAACGGACATGTTTGAAATGTACAGTTCGTTGTTCACGGAGTCTGTGATTCGAGAACCGCTCGGTCCGAATCACTGAAATCGTCGAACTATTTATTAAAAAGATCCGACTCAAATGAAACATTTATTGCCGAATCGAATGTTGTCAATGACCAGTATGTTCTCGAATTTTTGCGAGATAGTAATCGCGTTCTTGCATTAAAGTTTGCTATTTTTTTTTAAAGATTCAACACAAAATGTGTTTTGTAACTTGTCTAGTTAGTAGCATGCACATTTGAGATCTTCAACAGCAGTGTGGAAACGATTGTTTCGGTAGAAAAGACGAATACAATGTTAAACAGCACTTTTTGACTGACAAACTTAAACGACACGCCAGTTTTTTTATCCTTACACAATGATTCTTGCACTTGTCTACTTCAACGAAATGTCTTACAGTAAGTCTAATTCCTTCAAGTGCTTCATAAAAGACCAGCAATACACATTTCAGGTGCAACTTCTGACTTGCAGTACAGCAATTAAAAATGGCATCAGCCAGCTTGTGACTTTAAGCTATTATAGCTTAATACATAAACCAAACCAGTAGGAAGTTCTCAATAACATCTGTATTAGTGTTCCCTATGGAATGGAAGTAAAAATAATTCTAGCTGATCTTGTGAATATTACAATTAAAACATAGTGAAAAACATCCCTTTAGATGCTCCTCCACTACAACAGAGTTATTGGTTTGTGTGAGGGTTTTCAAGATTTATTGAGAGGTGACAGAGCAAAAATTTGTTCCGGATACTGTCCCCCGCAACCCCTCCATTTCTATATAGATAGATATATTTCCTATACTCTTCAATAATGACTGAATAGACACAAAAATCTGTATTTGTGTTATAAGCAGCTCGGAAACATCTGCATTTTCAAAGTTTATCAGTGCTCAGACACGTTTCTGACAGTGCATGGTGAGTGTGACATTTATATGGTGACCAACGTCTGCTAAACATAACAAGATTGGAGGACCTACAGAGGCAACTCCCTCTTTAATAGAGAAACCAAAACTGATGATACCATAATACTTCAGACATTATGTTATCATGAAGGATGGTGTTGAAAAAAATGACAAAGTAAAGAAGCCAGTGAGGCCAATTACAAGTTTTAACTGGTTATTAAGAACATAAAGGACAGCAGTCATCATCACTGATCTGAGCAGAGTAAGGTAGTTTGCAGGTCCTGACGCCTCAAAGGTCGCAGGTTTGAAACCCAGTCATTGGAATTAACCTTGAAAATGACATTTCACCCTAACATTGCTTTACCGTTAACTGGATGATGCATGGATGCTATGTACACAGATTACAATGGATGAAGATGTCATCAGTTAATTAAATATGTGGTATTGGTCAGTCATACTGAATGAAGCTCGCGTCCAATATGAAGTTCTCACATGATGTTTGAATTGTCATGGATTTCTACACAGTTGCATGAGGCATGAATTTTAGCTATACATATAATAAACCTTGATCAAACTCCTATAATCCTCCTCCGTTCAATTCCGTCCAGTGGCTGACCAATAAATCGAGGCACTTGTTTAATACCATGTTTCCGTTACATAATATAAATGTCAAGCTTTAACCTGTACCAAGAAAGAAAGCAAACAAAAAACAGCAGAAAACAGATTTTTCTTTTTTTCCCCCTTGTTAAATAGTAATAAATACATGAGATGCAGTGGTTTATTTTTCTGAAGCAGGAGGGTTAAAAAGTTCTCATTTTTTTATTTATTCATTTATTTATTTATCTGTCTGTTTTCTTTAGCAGCAATCCGAACATGGTTGAGAGTGGAGATAGCAGCCGAGAGAGAAGTAGTTCACTTTTTTGACTTGATGGCAAACAGCACTCACAGAGTGTTGTGAAGGAGGAAGGGGAGGAGGGGGAGAATAAAGATGGGAGAGAAAGCAAAGTGAGAGGCAGGAAATGAAGTCAGAGTGGGAGGGGCTGCAGTCAGGAGGGCGTGACAGTGTCCCTTCATACCGAAGTATTCCGCCCTCCTGCTAAATCTCACCCCAGACTCTTCCTTCCAACAGAAACATGGGGTAAGTACGAAAATAAAGAGAGAGAGAGAGAGAGAGAGCTACAGCAAGATTTGGCTTAGCATATCCAGAGTTAATACAAATGTGTTAACGCTTCCATAGTTTTCTGTCCAAAACAAAGATGGTTAGAAAAAAGAGAGAAAGAGACAGAAACCAAAGTAAGAGAGAGGTGTGAGAGAGTCTAGTGAGATGGTGAAGAAGAAGAAGAAGAAGAAGAAGAAGGCAAGACTATTTTTTTGAAACGAACAACAGGGAAGCATTTTGGTTTTCCTTCTGGCAAAATGTTTTGATGTTTTTCAAGACTTTCCTGTATCACTTCCTCCTTTATGTGAAGTCGAGTTACGTTCCCCCTCTCCTCGTGAAAGCGGCTCATGGTTCAGCCTCCTCCTCTAGTTGTTAGTTGGTGTTTCTCACTGTGTGGCGACTAAAAACAGTTTCTGTCATTTGCTTTATTTCATACGTAGGATTTGTTTCATAGTTTGAGATATATAAGCCAGTGTTGTCAAGCGAGATAAAGACTGGAAACTTTAAAAAAAAGTAACAAAAATGTGTGAGTGTATGTTGTGTGTGTGTGTGTTTGAGAGTGTTTATATGCGTGTGGGTTATGCTTAACTAGAAAAAAGCAACCAAAAACAACAAAATGAAGCCAAGAAAGAAAACAAAAAACCTCAAACCCAGTTTGTTTGCTTGTTGTTTTCTATGCATAAGTATCATCTGTCTGACCAAAAAAAACCAAAAAAACCCCAACTGTATAAATAAAACATTGAATAAATAAACCTAAAAAAATACCCACCTTTCAATTTAGATCTCTTTCTAACCCCTCTCCCGTCTCTCTCCTCATGTAGTGATTCTTAATAAATTAAAAAAATGTACAATTACGGCAAATCCTCAGGAAAAAAACAAACAAACAAACAAAAAAAAAAGGTACTCTCTCGCTGCTGTCGTCTTGACAAAAACATTAAATTTTTTTCAAAACTCTCCTCACCCCAAAAAACGCCAAATAAAAATCTCTCGCTGCAAACCTGTCCTGAAATCACATAAAATCAAATAACAATATAAGAATGGTAAAAACAAACGTTCTGAAAACCTTCTGTTGCGACTACTTCGCCCGCCGCTCTTCTCCTTCGATTAAGGAAAAACAAACAAACAGAAAAAAAACGATAAAAATAGTTTCAAATCCCTCCCTTGACCTTCTCCCCATGCAAAACCAAAACAACAAAACAAAAAAAATGAAACCGACTTTCTGATATTTCACAAGTTTGTCTATGCGATTCTGTTACGTGTGGTGTATACGTGTATGTCGTATGCTTACTATGTGTCGTTTGTGTGTGTACGTGTGGCGCTTTTGTTACTGTTATGTTGTCGTTAAAATTTTCGTATGGCTTTTGGAATTTGTTCAAGATTTATCAAGAGTTGGCTGCACTCTGACTGCTCCCACTCCCGCTGCCGCACACTGCCATCATGGCGGACTCCTCGGAGTCCGGCCGCCCCCCAGCTCCCCCGACTCCTCTGGGCGGAGGCCCCCCGGTGAGCATCCCCCCCACTCCGACGCTTCCCTGCGGTGGGTTGTTATTGTTGTTGCTGCCGGCGTAGCATGGAGGGATGTATCCCAAACCGGAGGCAGCGACCATGCTGTCCTGGGAGGCTGGGGCCTGGGGCAACTGTTGCTGGGAAGCGGAAGGGGGCTGCTGGGGGGCCATGACTGTCCTAGTCCGAAAGGCAGAGAGGCCCAGGTGGAGGTTGGAGGAGCCGTACTGACTGGAGTCCAAGCTCGACGGGGGCGGCTGCATGATGGAAGACTGACCCAGGTGGTGGTGGTGGGTGAGGCTGAGCTCGATGCTGTCCTGCATCTGCGGGGAGGAGACGGGCATCAGTGCCTGGCCCTGCTGGCCCTGCGAGGCCTGGCCCTGCGGCTGGTTCTGCTGCTGCTGCTGCTGCCGGAGCTGTCTGCCATTGCTGTGGTGGCTGCCGTAGATGGGGTGGGGATGGTGCGGCTCCATCATGCCCCCTATGTTGCCCAGAAAGTGGCGCGAGTGCTGCGTGGCCGCCGGTTTGTGCAACAGCAGCTGCGGGTAGGAGGAGTCGCTGCCGCTGTTGGACAGCTGACCCATGCTGCTGTCCCCTCCTGGCCAGATGCGCAACTGCTGTTGAGACGGAGCCTGGAGGGAGAAGAGGCGACCAAAGGGGATCAACACGAGTCGTTTCGGTATGTTACCGAGGAGCTGTGTGGCACGGTACAACGATCACTTACTTGTGGGCTCTGCATCTCGTAGTCGGTGTGAGTGACTGCGCTGTTGTAGTACCGGTTGCTGTACCGGTAATTTCGGTTGTCATTGGAAGAACCGCTAGATCCACCTGGATTGGGAGCAAGGACAAAGAGCTGATGTAAAACGAGTCTTTTTCTTGTTTAACTATCCCCAAGTAACAGGTTTAAGGGGTGATCACACTACACTTTTCGTTCAATTGACTTATATTCATATGCATGCGTATACAAGAGACAGGAACTGCAAGCTCATATGAATTTGTGTTCCAAAGTTCAAGTTTGGCGAATTTGTATCACATGAAGACTTGTGAGCAATAGAAGAATTTAACGAACACCAACTTTAAATCTGCAGAATTGCAGCAAACTGGAGTATAATGCATTTTTTTAAACATTTTGGATGTATTAGGGGTGTAATGATACACTCATGTCAAGATTCGGTTTGATACACAATACTGATCTAAAGATTCTTTGAACAAATTAAAAGTTAAAATGTTTGCTTAAAAAATGTATTACTTCTAACATATATGGTATATATACATTATATATACATATATACAACAGTTAACAAAAATTATGGTTAATGCTAAATTTGGTATTATATCAGGAACTGAACATGAATGGTCCTTTTCCCTGTGCACAGAAAATTCATGATTCTGACAAAGTATTAGACATACATTTCAAAAATTGCAAATGATGCATTTAATTTGTAATTTTGTAATAATAATTATTAAACAAGGAAGCTCAAATGTGTGACCTTCTGAGATTATGATATTTGATGTCCCATTACCATATCTGAAATATTTCTATACATTTTGATTTTGGGTGAACGATACACAATACATATTGTCGCTATCCACAATACATATTGTTGCGTTTTTGTATTGTGATATATTGTGACACAATTTATTGTTAACACCCCTATTATGTTTTTACAAAAGATGACGCAGAGTGTGACGCCATATTATGACCGTTGCAGCGTTTGTAGAAAGTTTGCGTGCTCAAAGTCTAGTGTGACCGCTGCATTACACACACTTACCAGAGCTGGAGATGGAGCTAGTGGTGGAGGTGGAGTGGCTGTGGTCCATGGCAGGGCTGGTGGAGGTGGAGCTGCTGGTGTTGGTGCCCTCATCCGTCGTCTTCTTGAAGAAGTTGTGCTGCAGCGCGTAAAAGGGCGTGATGCGCGTCTTGGGATCGTAGTCCAGCATGCGCAGGATCAGGTCCTTGAACTTCAGGTAGTCGCAGGGCGCGTGACCCTGTTCTCCAGCTCGCCTCCCCCCTGGACCTCCCGTCTCCACCCCCAGGATCTCGTGCAGTCGCCGCGTGGCAGGTGGTTTATATTCCTGGAGAGACAAATCAACACAGAGGAAGGGAAGAGAATGAGGCACAAATATGTAGCATTTAGTGCAGATCAAATGTCATAATTTTTAAACATTTAAGGACAAAGGATGATGAACTACCAGTCTAGAAACATATTACATTGGTAATGACCAATTTAATGATTAATAGATATATAAATCTACTAACATTATTACTGAAATACTATAAAGTCAACATGAAATGGCATTTGCAACCCACTTCTGAGTGAAACAGAATATTTATTGGTAAAAAGTAGTGTGCAACTTGATTTTCATCCACTAGAAAAGTGACTAGAACATGAAAAGTGGGTTCCAGAATGTTTTTATTTTTTATGAACATTGCATACCAAAATGGAGCGTTAACCAGCATTAGATTTTTATGTTAGCTAGAAGCAAGTTGTAGCCGTACCTACAACTGCAGCTTAAAACATTGCTGAAATTAGGAAAACAACCATTTTTCCTCTCTGTGCATTAATGGACTGAGCACAAATGTGTATTGCGAATTTGATTTCATGTTGACTTTAAATCATGAAAGGGGGCGGGGGGTTGAAAGTGAGATATTTTTGTGGTTTTGTGGGAATGATGATGATGATGATTGCATAGGAGCTCTCAGTGTCATACAGGGTTCAACAATGAGACTTTTTAAAATTACTTCAGTTGAAAGAACTACACACAATCATACATTTATGATCTTAATTATTTTACATACTGCAAAATAAAAATGTACAACAAACTTACTTTCGTTTTGTTCCTGAAATACTAATATAAACACATTTTGACACAAAATGTTTGTGCTGGAGCCAATGAGATTGTTAGCAGGTCAGGTAAAGAAACTTGGTAACAGAAAAAAAACCTTATTGTTGAGCCCTGTCATATTCACAGTACAGACCCTTTGACTCTGACCCTAATTTGTGACATTTTACACTGTATCATGGTCCATAAATAGTATAAAAAGGCTAAAATATACCAACACCTCCACTGTAAGAGTTCAAAGCTTTCAAGTGTTTAAACCTCTTTCTCTATTGTACACAGGGAAGCACAAAATGCGTGCTGGAGCATTTAAGGTAAGTCTCTGGATGAGTTGGCAGGAAGTGCCAGACATTAATCCTGTAAAACAAAGTGTATTAGGACCTCATCCAGACTTTTACCTTCCACCTGCTATCACCTTTGCATCTTAATCTGCGGCCACATACGCGCACGCACACACACACACACACACACTCTACAGTCTTAACCCGATGCTACTTTCACTTATCTTCACCGGAAACAGGGTCATTCTAGCTACTGGCTGCACTCACTTAACCTGTGACCCAATGCGTGTCACTGGCTAGACTGAGAGCTGCTCAGGTAGGGCTCTACCAATGCAACACTGCATCTATATTTTAAATCTTTACATTGATATTTAAGGTTCCATTTGTTAACAAGAGTTAATGCATTATGAACTGACATGAGTGGACTATTTTTATTAACATTAACAGATTAACAAATGTTGTAAAAAAATGTTTATTATTAGATCATACTAGCTAATGCATTAACAAATTAATATTAACAAATGGGACCTTATTGTAAATACTTACTATTTTATTTACACTTCGTTCAATCGTTTGAGTCAGTAAGACATTTTGAATGTTTTTGAAAGAAACAAATTTTACAGTACAGATTTTACAGTAAAATCACCAATATTGTGAAATATTATTACTATATAAAATAACTGTTTTCTATTTTATTATATCTAAAAATGTAACTTATTCCTGCAGCCATTACTCCAGTCTTCAGTGTCACTAATCAAAAATTAAGTTTTGATATATTTACGGTAGGAAATTTACAAAATATCTTCATGGAACATGATCTTTACTTAATATCCTAATGATTTTTGGCATAAAAGAAAAATCGATAATTTTGACCCATACAATGTTTTTTTGGCTATTGCTAAAATATACCCAAGCGACTTAAGACTGGTTTTGTGGTCCAGGGTCACATATGTGCTTCAAAACCACTAGGTGATCCAGTCCTCTAGTATGTCATTATATGCTGTTGCACATAATATTTAAGAATGGGTTTCCATATATTTTTGGCCTTTTACATTAAGACTCATGATATATATTGTACTGTAAGCACTACAAAAATGCCTGTTCCTAACTGACATCTTAAAGACAGAATGAGGATGGTTGTGAAAATGATTGTGATGATGGCAATGATGAGAACGGATGCTGTAGGTTGGGGTTTTGATTGACCTTGTGCTTCTGTAAGCAGAGGCGGATCAGCGGAGAGAGGAGGAGGTTCACTAGCACACATTAGCATTGCTTCAATTTCATCCCCAACCTTTATCTCCACCCTCCTCCATTTTAGCCCAACTTTTTTCTCTTCCCCTCTCCCTGAGGATAAGGTGAGCATCGGTGCGGAGCAGGTGACGGTGACGGGGGGGGGGCAAAGGTTAAGTAGAAGCAGAGTTTTACTCACAGAGGCCGAAGGATAAAGTACCTTCTTAATGTCCTTGTTCTTCTTGACAGTCCACAGGCCGTCGGACAGCTTGTCAAAGTACTTGCGTGCTTTAGGGGCCTGATCCAGCATATGGTTGGGTGGGACCCCCAGCACCTCTACTATTTTATTCATCTGGTCCACCTGAAAAAGATACAATATATTGTCAGCGCAAGATCCAAATAGACTGTGTTGCAACTGACATAGCAAGCATACGTCTGCTTCATTAACTATTATACATATGACAGATCAATTTATTACTTGAGGTGACTAAAGGGCATGTACGGATCTTGTGTTCAGACCAGTGTTATTTTATCATTTATATACTATTAAAGTATTTATTAATATTTTGAATTAGCATTTATTTTTATTATTTCAGTTTCCTTTTTATTTCTATTTAGCTTGAATTTATTTTAGTTTTAGTAATTTTTCTACTTAAACTTATTTCATTTTTTTCATGTAATATTTATATTTTATTTCAGTTTAATTAACAAAAACAGTCATAGTTTTAGTTAATAATAACAACACTGGTTCAGAGTCTGCACTTTTTTATTTGTTGCTTTGTATACATGTGCATCAGACAAATGTGTTTGGTTGTCACATTGCATTTTTCTGTAATTCTGTAACTGTAATATTCATCTGGTAATGTCTTTAAAATAATTATAATTCTTTAAATATTTATAATATTTAAATGCTGATAAGTCTGGGAACTAAAAAAAACTCATATCCTGTTTGTATGCCTGTTTAAGTTTACTAAAGTGTGATTCTTACAAGTGGATGAGCGTCAAAGAAAGACGTACATACAACGTCACAAAGCTTTGCACAGTCATTGTGTGACTAATCCCTGAGCCGTACCTCATTGGAGCCGCTGAAGAGCGGTTCGCCCGTGTGCATCTCCACCAGGATACAGCCCAGGGACCACATGTCTATAGCCAGGTCATACGGCATGCCCAGTAACACCTCAGGAGAGCGGTAAAACCGACTCTGGATGTACTGGTAAATCTGAGAGGGAAAGAATCCAGTAATGAATGACATGCACAAACAAAGGATGCACAAGTTTCTACCTAGCAGACTGAGTTCTCACAGTGACTATTGATTTACATTTCCACTTTTCTCCACTAGGGGGCAAAATCTACAAGTTAAGAAAGGTGCAGCACTGCCACTAGGAATCTCAAGCAGTAAAATCCATTTCAGCTGTGGGAAAGTCCTCTAGAATGTGCTTTGAATGAATTAAATGTTCACCACAGCATGCCATTTTTGTTGTCTTCATTTAATGCAAGTTAACTAGTTACTACTGGGCGTGACCTCACATCAGCCTGCCGTTAACAAACCACGGAGCCTGAGACGCCATCTCACCCTCTGTCCTAGCTGGCAGGAACTGCCAAAGTCCACAATCTTGATGGCACTGCGCTTGGGATTGCAAAGGAGGATGTTCTCAGGCTTGAGGTCGCAGTGGATGATGCTGAGCTCGGGCGTGGCCAGGAAGAGCAGCGCCGTGCACAGCTGCTGAGCGAACTTGCGCGTCAGGTTGAGCGAGACGCCGCGGAAGTTGGTGTTACGCAGGAGGTCGTACAGGTTGTAAGAGAGAAGCTCAAACACCAGGCACAGGTGGTTACGGAACATGAAGTGCCTCTTTAAGTGGACTGAGGAAACAAAAACGAGAAAGAAAAGACGTATAAGGGCGGCTGCCTTGAGGTTTATCAAAGTTTTCACAGAACTCTTGTCTAAAATTAATGCATTTGAGCATTTATTGTCTCATGTATTACTTTTAGTCTTGTTACTTGTTGCTTTTGGTGGGAGGAAATTCTCTTGCCATTAGTTCAGGGTTTTACTACAGAAGACTAAAAGTAGACTAACAGCTGCTTGTCGTATTCTTGTGTCTGGTTTTTACCTATGTAGTACTTCATCTCAGTGTCATGTTTGTTCATGAGCTCAAGAAGCCGCAGCTCAATCTGGGCCTGGTTCAGGAAGGCTTTCTTGTTCTTGATGATCTTGATGGCCACCCACTCCTGCTCGTGGTGGTCATAGGCTTTCACCACCTATACAAAAAGGAGCAAATTAGCTCACACCTAGGAAGATGCTGTAGTTTTAAACCAGTAAATGACTGTAGCTACATATTTCATGTATACAATTTAACATTTCAAAAATGCACCTGTTTCTGTACACGGGCCTTCAAATTCTTCACATTCACTATAACAAATCCTTATTCTGCCATTTATTAGACCTTTCTAGTCTTTAGTGTGGTTTGCTTATTAGGTTTCCACCAAAATAAAGTCCTGAGAGATTAATTTTACTAATTTTTCTAATGAACATTTAAATAATGAAAATAATAATTATACTTCAAAATTGTATTACAATATTATCATACTTAAGCTGACTGTGTGATTGCTAAAAAGTAACTGATGGCACAGCTAAAACCAAAAAAGGAGATCCGGATCTGCTGTCAAATCCAGATACAATGCAAAATAGAGTCACTTAGGTCACTTATGGGTCAAGTTAGTTTGGAGACAAAAACGCATCACTTGCTAGTTTGTATTTTTTCACAACCCCAGTTAAACACGAGCGTCGTTGTTTCAGTTTGATTTTATGCCTGTATTCTTTTAGACTTGATATCTAAGCAGCAGCAATGAGATGTCTGACCGAATCTCGCACCCTTAGCCAATTCTACTCCCATCTTCAAAGTTGTGCTAACCTGTCCGAAGGAGCCCTTGCCAATAAGTGAGTCGATCTCGTAGCGGTCCAGCCACTTCTCCCCGTTCTTCACAATGTAGTCATAGTTGTCGTCGTCGTAGCCATCGTTGTACACCTTGCGCTCTTTTTTGGTGCTAGAGTCCTCGGGGGGAACCTGCTGGGCTCGCCGTTTCTTCTTCGTGTAATACACCTGGAAAGCAAGCAAAACACTCAATATTTGCACCTCTACTACTACTACTTCGCTGATCACTGGAGAGTTTGTATGATTGGTCTTATCGCAAGTGTAAATATGAAAAGGCCTGTGCTGGCTCACCTCATTGATGTGCTTGTATGTCTTGATGAGATCGACTGAGAGTTTTCGTAGCGGGGCGCTGGCGGGATCTCGAAAACTCGGGGGAATCCTTCTCTGCAGGATGGTCATATCTGACAGCACCTGGAAAAAAGTGACACCAAGACAACAGTAAGAAAAAAGGAGGAGCAACTAAGGAAGCATCATAACAAAAACTATAATGTTATATATATATATGAATATATATAAAACATGAAAATAATTAATTTAATATCTAAAAATATATAATAAATAATGTATAAAAATTTTATGAATATAAGAAAATCTATAAAATCTTAAGAATGCAAATTCAAGTCCGTTAATAAATAGGCAATATTAACTAATAAATAGGGCTATTAATTTAATGCATTCGTTTAGTGTAGGGCTGTGAATCTTTGGGTAGACAGCGAATCGATTCGATTCACGATTCATAGGTTTTCGATTCGATTCAAGAACGATTTTTACAAATTAAGAACGTTTCAATTCGATTCGATTTCCAAATTAAATTCGATTTTATTTTATTATAACGATTCGATTCTGCATTCTTTAAGTGCATTCACAGGATTATTTAAATTAATTTATTCCCCTAAATTCTTTAAATGCTTAGTCAGGGGGCAAATTACACATCAGCCTTTATGGTTAGAGAAACATGGGTTAGAGAAAAATCCCACTTGTGTCCATTGTTAGATGCTAGTTTAATGATGCTATGGCATGGCATATGTAGAAATTTATGTAAGCCAAGACATCAAAAAAAGAGTTTTAAAAAGTATTATGTATAGGCTAGCATTTTGTCACACCAGGAGCGTAGCCATCATTTCAGAAGTGACAGAAATGTCAAATACAATAATTTTATGTAGGCCTATGAATGTATTATATATATATATATTTATTTGTTATTTTTTACAAGGAATTATATTCTTATCTTACTTTGAATTTGCTATAAGAAATCAAATACACTGCTGGACAATAATATTTTTTTCCTAATGGCAATTTTATGATTGTTTTAAATACTACAAACAATTATTTCAATTTTCTGCACAGAATTAGGTAGAAAAAATACTTTATAATTTCTGTACTGTAATAAATGATATGTCAATTAGCACTGCATCATTCATAAATTTTATTTATTGTGTTTTTGTCTTAACGTTTCACCGTTTCATTCAGATTTTTCTTCAGCTTAGCTGCAGATATTTAACTTTTCCTCTCCATGAGGAAATTCCTCTCCACGAATGATGATTCTGAAAGAAAACGCACCCGATGTCTGTTTGCTATAGCAACGAATGCTACTTTCATGCATCTGATTATCAGATAAACCTTGCGTTCTTATTTCAAGGTTGTTGTTAATGCTGTGGTTATTTTAAGTTTCCTTCGTACATTCGGTTTAACAACATTGTTAAAACACATTTATCATTCAATGGAACTGTGCGTATGCTTTAGACACAATTACATTTGTGCTCATTGAAAAACTACAGAAAAGCGAAAAGCAATCACTTTAGCATTACTGGCCACTAGTACTAAGGAGAGATCACACATCAGCTGCTCAAAAAATGTGTCAGTGAGACGAACGGAGCGCGAGCGCAATCCTGTGACAGTCACAGGCGGTAAATAGTGGAGTGCGTGAAGAAGAGATGCGAGGGCACGAAACACTGTTCAAGGTCTCCATTAATTCGTGCTTGCAGTCATTTAATGTGTATATATTTTGAAAGCATTGAATCGCTATAGAAATAGCGATTCATTCGATTCTCAGCATTTTATATTGATTACTGTCCGAAATCGACGATTCACGATTCAAAAATCATGTTTCAAGATCGATGCATATGCATCGTCAGGGTTTGTAATGGATGCATCGAGAAAACGAGTGAATCGTTACACCCCTAGTTTAGAGTGATTAATTATAAATAAAATATTGCAATAAAAAAGCAGCAAATTATTTATCTTCCCCCTGAACTGTACAAGAAAACTGTAACAAGGAATTCTCCAACCTACATGCAATAGGTATGCAATAGCTAATGATGCCAATATGGATGTACACATAGACCAATTATGAAACATTACAGAATATAAGAACCTGTTCTGGGTAAACAACCCATTTCTCTATCTCGGGCAGATATATAAACTCAAGTGCATAATGCAACTGTGGACTGCAGGCCAGTAACAGGCAATTTTATTAAAATAAAACAATATACTGACTTCTGTAGTCACTTGTTGTAATGTCTATGCAACAATTTAATAGTCAAACACAATAATGTCATCTTCAGTATTTAAACAGTGTATGCAATTGCAATTTATTAATCATCATGTAATTGTGTTTATTTATTCGACTGCAATTTTTAAACAAAACATGGTGAGGGACAAGTCACAAAAACATATTTTTCATTAATGTGACTGCATACGGGTTATATTATAGAATTTAATTGCAAGGAAGCATGTTTCTGGTACCTGCTGCTGGTCGGCCATGGAGTGGATGTTACCGAAGGAGGGGTGGCTGTGCTGGCTCGACATGGTTGGCTCAGCGGGGGAGAAGCCCAAGGCAGTATATATATAAAACAAAAAGTACCGATAAGAATACCATTAAAGTACCGAATCGATAAGCAGTATCGGTAAGAGTAGTAATACCGTTAAAACCTTAACGATACCCATCCCTACCAATAATGAAATATTGCAGAATATAAGAACCTGTCCTGGGTAAACAACCCATTATTCTACTTCAGGCAGATAAATAAACTCAAATTCATAATGTAACGGTGGACTGCAGGCCAGTAAGAGACAATTTTATTGAAATAGAACCATATACTGCCTTCTGTAGTCACTTGTTGTAATGTCTATGCAACAATTTAATAGTCAAACACAATAATGTCATCTTCAGTATTTAAACAGTGTATGCAATTGCAATTTATTAATCATCATGTAATTGTGTTTATTTATTCGACTGCAATTTTTAAACAAAACATGGTGAGGGACAAGTCACAAAAACATATTTTTCATTAATGTGACTGCATACGGGTTATATTATAGAATTTAATTGCAAGGAAGCATGTTTCTGGTACCTGCTGCTGGTCGGCCATGGAGTGGATGTTACCGAAGGAGGGGTGGCTGTGCTGGCTCGACATGGTTGGCTCAGCGGGGGAGAAGCCCAAGGCAGCAGGCTGGCAGAGGGTAGAGGAGGGGGGCTTGCATCCTGAGCTGCTTCCACCTTCATAGAGAAAAGGGAAAAAAAACGAGAGAGGTTTCAGAAGACACATTGCTAAAGTGCATCACACACGCCAAGCAAACACTGATATGGGTGTGGGGAGAACCACTGCACTGCAGGGGGAAGTAGAAATATGAACACACATTCTCTCTCTCACACACACACACACACACACACCATATTGGAAGTCAAACTGAAGGAGTTTTCAGAGCCTTCAGCTAAGAGATCTTTGAAATCTCCTACAATCGAGTGGAATAGTGATAAGAATTATCAGTTTTCCTCTCAAGAAGCTCCAGTTCATTTTGGCTGAGAAATTACAGCACCGTTCCTCAGGTCAGCATGACAAGTATGCGTTGGAGGTGGGAATACACTGCTATATACCTTCAAAGACCTGAGAATGGTTTCCAAATCAGAATAATTCTCTCAACTTTCTGAGCAGCATGTGTTTTTCCAACAGCTTCGGGCGGACAATATGCAAATGCCGGAAAATCACTGTACTGTTTGTCACTGCCAAACTGGTGGAACAAAGAAAAACTGCCATATGACATTGCACACAAAAATCTCTGTGGATGATGGGAGTGACTGGGAGGCAGGCAGAGCTATCCATGGTCCTGTGCTGCCACTCGTTGGCCAAGAATATGCTGCAGCTATTACTTTCAAATACAGGCTGCACATTAGGCTGCCTGCTAGAGTAATGCTGACCTCAAATTACAGGTGAATCATTGTGGAAATATCTCAAATTTAAATTCAAAATCCAAAGAAAATAAGAAACTATAATTTGCATATTTTATATATTTTTTGTAGTTCCACAATGACTTTTTCCATACTTTTATCAATGCATTATTTTAATAAGAATTAAGCACAATTTCCCCTGTAATGTGCCCTGAAATTTTACTTATGGGCTTTGCATTCCCATTTTGCAGTTCCATCACAGTGGTGACTGTCATTATTAGATTTTATTAGTGTAATACTGTAATGTTTCAAAATGATACATATATATTTGAAAAATTACAATATACTATACAGAACACAATAACATATGTAACTAATATACATTGTATTATATTAAATCATTTAAAAATGTTAATATTAAATGACAGTACACTAAATAGTATCATAGTGAATCAATATTTTATATAGTATTTAATTTAAATATATATATTTATATAGCAATTTTAGTAACGAGAATGAGAGTTGCGTGAAATATATTAGATTTTGGGGAAAATGTGCTTAATTGTCATGAAAATTATATCACATTTCAAAACTTAAAAACAGGCTTAATTGTCTATATGCAAAACACAGTTTTTAATTTTTATGACCTAGACATTTTCTAGCCTGGTTTTGTGTGATTCACCCTTATAAACTAGTATGGAGCCCCCAACCAAGAAATCTGAGACTATTGAGCATAAAACCTGTGTATATGAACTTCATATATTAACATGAAACCTTTCACAATGTAGGCCAGAGAAGTTTTTGGAACTAGTTATGTGTAAAAAAGACCAAGGGACTAACAGAGCACTAAACTACAGGCTTATAAAGAATTAATGCTGTCCCAAATTTGATGGACTGAAATTTTAACTGCAGGATACGATTTTCTTTGCACAGAATAATCCACTAGCACATTGAACATCCATAATGTACAAAGGAAGTAACGGACATCTCGGGAAAGACACGAGAACTTGCTGAGAGTACAGTAATTAAGTAAGATTGCTGAGTGCGGAAGCAGGGATGTGAACGTCTAACGGGGGGATATGAAATGGATGAGATATTCCACAGTGAATGCTTTTATTGCTGCTTTCAGGGGCTGACAGGTGAGGAGTAATGGGGGTGAAATTTATCAATGACACATTACAACTTGAAATAGCTGGGCGATCAATGGTCGTAGCTTAAACAAAGTGCAAAACGACACATCTGACCACCATCAATCCCAGGGAGTGACGGCAAGCATTGCTGTTACATGCCCATAGGAGTCCCAGCACCAACTCACTGACAGCTAACCTGCCTGGATATACATATGTGACTCATCTCCAACTGGTTTGATCAGACCCTGTTGCAAATGACAAGACAACTCAATCAAAGCCCATTATTGCAAAACATTTAAAATTAATCTAAGAAAACATTACGAATTTGTGCAAAAAAAAAAACTTTTATAGGATTCACTTTTATAGTTTTCAGAGGGAAACCATGACTAAAAAAGCGCAATCTGCTGAGCACCAGGAAAAATGTCACACTGTGCCTTTAAATGCTGAAATGAACACATTGAGAACTTCCTGAGTGTGACACCCCCCTTCCTCCGCTCTGATTGGCAGAGGCCCCCTCCCTCTCTCCTTCCCGATTGGCTGCTGGTATCCAAGGGCTGGGCGGCGAGGTCTCTATAAATAAACCTGGTAGCTTGTGCTGTATCAGCAACCCTTCCCTTCCCACAAACCCTTTCCCTGCCTGTTACCTCTCTTCTTTCCCCCCACTTCTCGCTCTCAGTCTACGCTGATCTGGCCATATCACTCGCATAAACGCCATGCCCGAAGGGAACAAATATTAATAAAATATAACAGGACACATGCTCCTCTGTAGACACATAGGTGCCTGGGTAGAATTTATTGTCACATCGCAGCAGTTAAATATATCAGGTGGTATATGAAGTAATCATTTGCAATTAACCATGCAAAGACCTCCCCCTCTTCACCAACTTATCCCACATCCCCACAGCTGACCAAACACAGCTGCCAGCTGCCAATCACAGTGTCGCCATGGCAACAGAGCAGCCTACTCCCTGTCTCTAAGGCACAGGAAGAGGATGGTTGTGTGTGCATGTGAACAGCTGAACAGCCCTCCCCATCACTCCCACCTCACCCTTCCCATGTCCGTATTGACCCCCTATCTTATTCCCTGTTAGGGTAATGGGAACGCTGGTGCTACTGAGCCAAAGTTGGACACACCATGATTGGCATGAAGGGAAACGAGGACAGGGAGGAAACTCGGGGTATTATCCACAACTTATTTCCCCTAGTTTAAAAAAAGAAAAACATGTTAAACAACCACCATAAACAGTGACTCGAGAGGCTCCGTAAAACCTGTGCATCATGAAATCAAGTATCCATGCAACTGAAGTTCAAACTTGAGCTTAGTATGAAGCAACAAGTTGGTGTTGTTTGAGCACAGAACACCAGAGCGTGTGTCGGAAAAAGGACATTGTAGACATACAGTACATAGAGGGGAATAAGGCAAGGATGTGCGTGTCACATCATGCCCACTGTCTAACATGCGCTTGCGCGCCCGCAGATGGCAGGGTTACATGGATGTCATGCCCCACATTAGAGGACTTCAGGTTTCAGAAGCTCTAAACCTCTGCCCAACAATATTACGGGTAGTTGTGAGCAGGTATGGGATCCCCTATGTACATCTCACAGAACCTGAAAGAATTAAGGTCTATAATCTACTGTCAATAGTGTAGCAATGTATGATGCACAACTCACACAGAAGTCACTTCAATCCAAGCAGTTTCTGTTGATCAACATGGTAAATTCACTTGACCAACTTCAACCATCTTTCGCCCTCAAGTGAGGTTTCCAATTGAGTGGATTCCTATTGAAATGACTGGATTTCACAAACATTCGCCAAACAACAATAAATATGACCTTTAGAGAATGAAGCATTACTGACTGGGCCAAATCTCCCAAAATACAGTCGGATAGTTTGTAATCGCCTTCATATGTGAAAACTACTGTCATTTAAAGATACTCATCACTTCCCACCACCACATAACTGGAAAAAAAAAATGTGGGAGGAAGGAACATGCATACATTGATCGCTTTGGGGGTGGGGTGGGGGTCATACTTGAGTCTTTCCAAATTCAAGTTTGACAAAAGATGATATATTTAAGGACTTAATGATCTTGTGCCACCACCTCCAAGAAGCTCCCACTGGTCATCTCCACTTCTGATTCTCAGAACTCCCTCAATTGCAATAGGACATCATCCTCCGTGGGGCTTCTGCAAAACTTTCAACCTTTCCACTAAGTTCAGCACTTCTCACCGTGTTATGCGACATAACCCCGTCCAACCTTTCCTTGGCGGCCAAATCCCAAACAGTACCACGGAGAATTTAAACAGTCAGGCCCCCATAGCTGAGTCAGACTCCACACTATTAATAAAAAGCCATCTGGGTGGACGCCTCATACAGTGACACTGGCAAATTGACAGCAGGGGTGTGCCCGAAGAGTGAATCCTTATAAGGCTCGGAAAACAAATAATGATTCCTAACACCGTGTCTACACCGGACGCGAGCGGCACGGCAAAATACTGTAGAACCACTGATCTATAATAGAGATTCATTATAT